CCCCCTCCACCACCACCACAATAAGGCGGAGACACAATCGGTGGGGGTTTCCGTCCATACTGCAAGGATCTCAATTTAAACTTTAATCAAGACTAAATCACATTTAATTCACTAAAGTGTTTGTTAAATGTTAATCACTGAATATACATATTTTAATGACATTTTAAATATTTAATGAACATTTGAGTGAAATAAATGTGATTATTTTCAATTAAATTTTAAATTGATATTGTTGCAGTATAGACAGAAACAAGACAGAAAAAGCATTAGTTTATTGATCACAGGAATGCCCTGCTTTCGGTACGTAGGTTCAAGAACATGAGGTAGAAATCACAGCTGTTGTGGAAGAACCACTGAGCAAACATTGGCTACTTTTATGGAAAATTTCAAAATGGGTTTCCACAAGTGAAGGGGGGGGGAGCACACTGTAGCGCAGTTGGTTGTGCCACTATGCTAGAAGCCTTAAAGTTGAGGGTTCGATTCCCGATAAGGTGGATTTTTTCAATTGACCTAATCCTTTCAGTCGCACTATGACCCTGGGGTCGACTCAACCTCTAACAGAATGAGTACCAGGAATCTTCCTGGGGGTGAAGAGCGGTCGGCACATAAGACTGACAACCTCACTGCCATCTGTGAGCCGATTGTCTAGAAAATGTCGGAATCTCAACATCTCAACCCTGTGGGCCTTCAAGGCCTGTTACAGGGATACCTTTACGTTCCTTTTTTTTTCTTACTAGTGTTATGGATGTGTGTGTGGGTCACACATTTAATTTGCTTTTATGTCAGTGAAATCTCCTGTGCTTTATTGACGTCATGATCCAGTTCTGTTTTTTTTTTTTTTTTCATGAATGAGGATGCAGGGTAGCTCAGTCAGTGCCTCAGCTATGAACCAAATGACCAGGGAGTAAAGGTTTGATTCCCTGCAGGGGCAGAGGTTTGTCTGTTCTCCACAGCATCCACCCAGCTCCCTATCCAGTGGGTTTTGAGGGTTCTGTCCCCAGCAGTAAAGCAGATAGGGAGTGGAAGCATTAATGGCTTGCCACGTGCTTATTCACATGGACAGCTTTACTTCTTTACCTCTGTGTGTTCCAAATTACAAACATGTGTCAGCCCATATGTGTATTTTCTCTTTTGCAGTTGTGAAAGCTACGGTTCTCCTTGCAGACATAAATGACTTCGCTGAAGTGAATAAAATTTATAAACAATGTAAGTTATCTATAAGATTTGAAGTTACCATAGAAATGAGTATTAAGATTACTACTGCCTTCTGAGCCAGGGTAGCTCAGTGGGTATAGTGACTAGGCTGCAGGCTGCTTGACCGGATTTTGATTCCCAGCTGGAACAAGAGATTTTTCTCCTCTCTGTAGTATCCAGACCTGCACTGGGACCGATCCAGTGGGTACCAAGGGCTTCATCCCTAACTGTAAAGTGGCAGGGGCACGAAGCTGACCATACACATCCATCTGGTGCCAAGGTCAAGAATGGTGGAGCTATACCTCCACTCCTCCATATGTTTTAAGGGTATAGTCCTTAGGATATGACATTGTGTAGTTTGGCAGATAGGTTCCTACTATCTGCACCGTTCTGCTCTTCTGCACAGCAGACCAAAGCAGCAGTGTCTTTCAGAACATCAGAACTGTGTACCGGACTACGTGACGTCAGTTCCCAAAGACAGTCTTTTTGGTCACTGTTGTGAGAACCACAAGTCTCAGGCAGCCATAGTTGTTTTCTTTTCTATCTTTTGGATAGTTATTTAATGCATCTGTTGACGATGTGTCATGAGCATATGAGCATATAACGTGCTTCTCTCATACAGACTTCAGTTCTTGTTTATTTGCTTTGATATGAAATACGGTGTACTCCCAATTATCTGTGATAATGAGGGGGCTAGGATGGGCGTGAATTATCTAAAAGCATGGCTAATACAAGTTTTGGGGGTGGTTAGGCGATGCAGTGGTTATTTAACACAGAAATTCGGAAGGGTACGTATAGCATTTCATTTTGTCAGTTATCTCAAAGACTGTAAGACCTACAGTAAAAGTACGTTTGGCATGAAATATGCGTTTCATTATTCTCTGCAACATTTAATCAATACATTTTTCTCTAAAATCATTTTTTCTTCATGAGATACATGCTCAAACATGTGTGGGTCTTCACATAGCGTGGTCGTTAAAATCGTCTGATCAAAATGGGGTATTGGTATGGCTCAACAGTTCTTTGTAAAAATTCTCTGATATGAAATTTCATGAAAATCCATCCATCAGTTCTCAAGTTGTTTCATGTGTACAGACAGATGAAACAGAGAGGCTGAACTAACTTATTATTTTTTATTATTATTCTTAGTTGGGTGAGACTGAGTCCACTTGGTAATGCAGACACTACTGGACTATTGCACCGGCCCCAAAAGATAGATGATGGTGATTGTGGAGCAATTGGTGGAATGAAGATTAGCAGGGGAAACCGAAGTACTCAGAGAAAACCTCCCCCAGTGCCACTTTGTCCACCACAAATCCCACATGACCTGACCCAGGCTCAGACATGGGCCGCCACGGCGGGAAGCCAATGACTAACCGCCTGAGCTATGGCACAACCCTGAATTAAGTTAATAGACACTCTACAGGGTTGTGAATGTGCCTGGAAAGGCCCATTTATAATCTGCACATTCATAATGAGGTGTACACTGTAGCGTAAAATAGCCTTGTTTCATTTCCTTGTTCATGCATGACGTTCTAGCATCAGATCTGGGATCGTAGCCTCTCTAATTAAGATTGGTAAGCGGTTAAGATGCAGGCAAGGAACTCTGTGTGATTCTGCAGAGTGGGTTCAGATGGCATGCAGTAGGACTTGATTGCAGACTTCTGTTCCCAGTGCTAATGAAGTTTTGGATTCTCTTATTGCTAAGGAGTAAGTTTACATATTTTAAATTTATATTTCAGATTTCAAAGAACCATATCCCGCAAGGACGGCATACCAAGTAGCAAAGCTTCCATTGGTAAGAAATGTTTTGCTTCATGAGTTAGGTTTTTGCTTTGCAGACTTTGCTTGTTCTTAAAATATTCTGTATAATAAGTAAATTTTACTAGATAAATACTTAGACAGAGGTCAGATCTGTCCACTTTAAAACAGATCGTCTTGAAGAAAGATTTTATTGTGCCATGTTAAACAAAGAGATCACTTGGGAGACCTCAGGATAGATGGCAGGATAATATTGAAATGGATCTTTATGAAATAGGATATGGAGTGAATTTATGTGGCTCAAGATAGTGCTATATCTGTTGATTTGTTTTCAGGATGCAAAAATTGAAATTGAAGCCATTGCAGTGGTTGGAGAAATAGTAGACCACTCTTCCTGACTAGGAAATGCAAAATTGTAAGGAATGTGGGGATATGAATTGAGTCTCTCAGTGCTCAGCTGTATCTGTAAAGTGTGAGAGAGCATTTAAATATAAGGGGCATTATTCTCATTGGGGCATTTATTGAATAGTTGTAGGAAACATTAAATATACCATAATACTTTGAATATAAGAATATACGTTTTTTTCCCCCCCATTGCATCATTGAGGTACATCTTAAATTCGAGGAATGTGCACCTTTCTAATTTGTTTTCCCCTAAAACCCACAGTCACAAACTGGATGTGCCTTAAATTCAAAGGCGTCTTATATTCGATGTAATACGATATTTTATATCATATAACGATATTTTAGAACAAATTGAACAATTTTTTATATGTTTGCTTTGAAGATCTGGCAGCAATGACTGTGAAGTTTACTGTCATTAAGGGTGTGACACAGCATAGTCTGGTAGATTGCTAATTTATATTTTGGCAAAATCTGCTCTGTCAGTCTTCTACCCTGAAGATGGAAGCAGCAGGATCATATGAATTGTTGATCAACCAGGTTGCACAGCATCACACCCCTGAAGACAGGGATTTCCAATTGTTTTCTGCCTCTTTTGGAGAACTGTAGATGAGTTTAATAAATTTAATATAAATCCGAGATCGAAAATTTTGTATCACCCAATATTTTCATGTTAAAATTATCATAATTTGACATACAAGAGCTATAAGATAGCCAGCCAGATATGATGTGGTGTTTTGACTAACCAGTGCTAAATGTGACAGTGTCCTGACCGATTATCCAAGTCACATTTGGCTTTATATGAATCAGCAGCTACACACTTGCCACTGTCAAAGCCAAATCTTTGCAAGACATTACACACTGTCATGTTTTTCCTTTTCAGAGAGATCAGATAGAACGTTTTCATAATCTGCGCATAAAAATGCACTGAAATCACCCAGATAGTGTTATGGAATGCAATTAAAGTTCTTAGAGAATTCTGACATATGATTTTTAATGAATGTAATATTAGCTGTTAATGAAAATTCTAACAATTTTGATGAGAAACATTTTTATACACTCCACAAACTGTACAATGACTTTTATGAGACTTTTTTAAGAGTCGTGATATGTGCCATTCTGAATGGTTAAACAATAGATCTGGTGCTTGGAATATTCACAGAAGGAAAACATGGAATCATTAAAAATGAAATACTATTAACAGTAGTTTCTTTAACAGGAGAATTTCTTGTTGTCCTCTTGATGAATTGCCACTTTTTATGCTATGTGAAATTTCTGTTCTGTCTTTTGAAGTAAAGAGCCTTCATGAAATATGCTTGTCTGTCGTCTTCTCATATTCTGTATATTTTCTGATTTTAATATATGTTGTCTCCTACAGAATTCTTCGTGGTCCCTCATTAAGAAGAGTATCCCTTTTTTTTTATCTCATTACATACGTGGAGAAGTACGTGTTCTTCAACCAGGGTATGGTTCCTTTCCTTGGTAATATCACTTAAAGTTTAAGGAAGGTGTAACACTCAAATTAAGAATTAAAGTTTACTCATGTAGTTAACAAAAGAAGATTGGGACTGATGATTCAGATCACAAGCAAAACTTGAATAGTTGCACATCCTCTTAAACAGCCTTGGCTGTTGTACATATTGGTAAGAGTACCGAATACATTTCATAATATCATTGGACGTTCTATGTTAGGTCTGCAGCAGGAAATGGGAAACCGGCAGGAAAACTACATTCGTAGATTATAAATATTTCTAAGCAGTTGTGACCCAGTGTTTCTTCTTAGCCTAATGTCTTCATTGTCACATTCAAAGTCATTGCTGTGGGAACTTCTTGTCGTGATATTTCAATAAAGATGTTATGCAGATTTTGTTGATACCAGCTGTCCAAGAAAAATTATGTTTGTCCTCGTTATATAAAATTAAATATAAAATATTGCAATTCACTCACTGTATGGGTTGTTGTTTCTTTCAGCTATCTCTAGCTGTTTATTTATCATATTTTTTCCTTATCTGTTCCTTACTTTGCTCTTTGACACACGGTGCCAATGTCGGACAGAGAAGTCATTTATTTCTGTCTGCCAGTCAGTGTACCCTTATCTGATGAATGTGATGTTTCTCTTCTCATATTCATTGCTCTTTTTGTCATCACACAGAAGATGGGTAGCATAGTTTTGGAGGAACCTCCTGCCTCTTTCTTCAGGGCAGGAAATGTAACTATACCCTGAGGATGGAGGCAGGTTCTTCTGAAATACGGGTACCTATGTGCCGCATTGCGAGACGTTACATTTCAGTAGACTATAATGTGTAAGGTATACATTTGTCTTCTTAGTATTATTTCCTGTATACTCCTGCTCATTCTTGTGTGGATTATCTGGTTTATCTGAGCACCTTTAGGCACATTTGTAACCCTATAGAGTGCCTATTAAATACACTTTCTGTTTATCTGTCTTAGGCACAAAACAATTTGAGAACTACAGGATGGACTTTTATGAAATTTGACATTCTCTTTCAGTTTTCATTTAGGTTGGACTATTCTAAGACAGTGAAAGTTATCATCATGTGGGATGTGGCGGTGTATAGTACAGCAGAAATGTACCTAATTCTGGAGGTACATGCTGCAAACTGGTATGATAAGCAAGTCCAACAACCCTGTCACACTCACACACACACACACACACACACAAGCACACACAAATGAGTTTTGAGTTCAAACTTCTGAACTGCAATTAGGAGTCTGGGGGCGGTGTTGTGTCACCGAATGCGGTGGTTACAGGCATCTTCCAAAGAAAATGTAACTGGTTACTGAAATCTATACTGATACACAAGGACTTGGAAATTTTAATATTTTCTATATCTGGAAGAATATTTAGTTGATTTTAATTTGTATTTATTTTTCATGTACTACATATATGAATTTACAAAAAAAAAACATTTAAACATTGACAAGATTCAAACTTAACCCTGAAATTTATATCAAAGTGCAGACTCAAGATTTTTAATACATTTATTTATACAGTTACCTCGAAGATGAGTGTGGGGTCTTGAACTCAATTTTCTTTAGAATTTGGTTTACATGTAATTCACACACACATCAATTCAAAATCTGTGTTACTGGTAACATTCATTAGACATGATTTGCATTCTTCTGTATGTGTTTAATTCTATGATTGTAATCTACAGTTTCTTTATTTTGATTTACAAATTTCAAAATAAAATATAAAACACTAGGGAAATGCCTGAAGAAAATTTAGGAGGTGAATGTGACAGTTCCCATCTTCAGCCACAGTATCTACAGATAACCCTTCCACTCATTCATTCTCATATATTACAGCTCTTGAGGGCCACTCTGAAATCACAATTTCATTGAATATAAACATTGTGTAACTTGCAAAGTTGTGTAAAGACAGCCGGATAGAACAGCCAGTGCTGCTAAATGGAGGTAACTTCTGTCAGCAAAGATGAAGACTGCAATAGCTATAAAAGCATGGCTACCTGTTCATTGCTGCTATCTCTTGGTCTGTTTGTAACCTCTAATAACTATGACTGATACATAACTGATTAACAAGACTTTGGCTTTTGTGTGTGTGTGTGTGTGTGTGTGGATCACACGAAACACATAAATACACTGGGTGGAAAAAATGCTGTATTCTTGAATGTTGAAGTGAATGGTACATACAGGGTGTTTGACGACTTTAGGGCATAACTGCAGGAGATGATTTCCTAGGTCTTTGTGATCAAAAAAGTTCACATAAATATGTGTCCGATTTTGGACGGTTACAAAGTTATGACCGTTTTAAACTCAGAATAGTAGGTAACGATTACTGACAATAAACGGAACAAAATAATAAACCAGCATAATACGTGATACATTTAAAGTATGAACGTAAAGTTAACTTCATGAAATTACCTTTAATTTGAATTGATTGGTGCTTAAAGCTGATTTTCGAAAATGTCACCGCCAGCCACAACACAGGCTGCCGCTCGGTCGTGAACCGCGCCAGACATACCAACCCACCCCACTCTCAAGTGTCGAGATAATGAGAACGCTCTGTCTGTAGCTGGCTAAAAGTAGCAACCTGCCAGCTGACGCGGTTCACACGAGGGCATGTACGGGAATGAAAAAACGGTCATAACTCTGTAACCGTCCAAAATCGGACACATGTTTATATGAATTTTTTGATCACAAAGACCTAGGAAATCACCTCCTGCAGTTATGCCCTAAAGTCGTGAAACACCCTGTATAGTTACCACTTTGCTGTAAATGGTTAAAAATAGCAATCTCAGTGATCTACAGAACTTACCAGAAAGCTTTGTTGAAGTTAACATTATTAGTTGATTTCATATTTAGACTAATAGTTTCTTCTGCAAAATAATATCCCATGCTCTATAATGATGCTTCTTCAATTTAAAGAAAAGTACAAAATCGTAATAACTTTGTATTTATAAGTTCAAGCAACATGATGGTTGTCATTTTTTGTTTCCGGAAGATGCTTACATGTCTAGACATTTGGACACTGTACAATTTTCTTTTTATTTCCTTGTCTGTCTCCATTTTTACGCTCACATTCTGTATATTTGCACTGGTTCAGAACATTGCTGTACACTTCAATCAGTTTTATTATCTTCATCTTCTTTATTTTCCTCTGAATCTTCTGCCTCAGTTTTTTCTTCTTCTGTGCCTTGTTCTGTCTCTCCTTCCTTTTCATCTTCTGCTCCCTCCTCCTCTTCTTCCCCTTCATTAGCAGGTGCTGTTTCTGAACCAGAAACTTCCTCATTATTTTCTTCTTCTGCCACTGGCTCCGCATCTTCTATTTGTTCGTCTCCTTCTCCAGCTGCTGCTGGAGTTTCTGTCTCGCCGTCTTCCTCACTTGCGTCTCCTTCTCCTGTGTTCTCGTCCCCTTCAGAAGATGGCATCAGATTATCAATCTTTGCTTTAACGCCTTCCACTGCAGTTTGTACAGCATCTTTTGTTTCGTCCATTTTCTCTTCAGCCATTTCTGCTGCTGAACCTATCTTCTCCTTAACTGCATCACCAGCACCTGAAATAATAAAAGATTTTAGGTGTTCTTTGTGGTGATTCTTGAGATCATAGTTTTCTGGGTTGTGGCACCAAGTATCTGTTTACTTACACGATTTGTTTAACAGCTCTGTATAGCATCAGACAAATGGATGATTAGTGAATGATCAATTTGAAAGAAATTTGGATGGAAGCGGTTATGACCTAATTTGCATTTTGCTTTAGACGCTGAGTGAAACTGCAAAATATCTGTCTGGGTGGCTGCTATCATGCCTGAGCTTTGAACCCATCACCCACTAGATACAAAAATCAGAACTTACTTGGTGACACCATGTAGTCTTGTAAGTGGATATCAATGTTTCAGAGGAATATGCTGCCAATATCTTCAGTGTTGAAGCGTTTAGAATTGGTCAAGTTATACAGGGTAATTCACGAAGTTTTACCCCGGCTTATGGTACATGTTCCTGGGGTTATTTCCTGCAAAACTTCCTTATAAACTTGTGGTCGATTTTCAGTAGTTACGGAGTAACAATAGATTTTCGAAACGCATCATTGTGAATGCAGCGCTATGCTTCAGCGTGGGCGACTATACGTTCCAGTCAGCTATGTCAGCAGATAAGGTAGACAGGTTTGAATGTTGCGCGTAGGTAGATAGGCAGAGCGGTTCGTACGCGTGCGACGCATTGTGTTGACATGCAGGGAAACATTTTTGGAAACCTTATGTAAATCCAGTCGTCTTCTAAAGCACTACAGTTTAAAGGAAACAGATTGATAGAAGGGTGTGATATGCAACCATTGGTATGTTTACAGAATGGGATGCTGAAAATAATGTAATTTTGTAACACAAAATCGATGAAAAATGTTGCACAGTGCAAAATTAAGAAATTGGAAAAAAAAAATGGTTTTAGAATGCTTCTTTCCTAAAACATTAACGATTTAAAAAGTGTTTGTATTGTATTTCTAATTTGTTTTGACTGAAATTCAAAGAAAAAAAGATTTTTTGCCAGTTTTCAAATTACTGTATCTCTTTAATTATGAATTGGATACCATTAGTATATTAACATTTTTTGTTCCAAATTACCTCAGGAATGCCCTCCCTAAGTGGGGGTAAAACTTTGTGAATCAGCCTGTATAAGCAGGTTCCAAAGAAAATAGGCACCCCAGGTCCACTGGAAGGGCAGAACAAGTACAACTTGGTCCAGGAAAAGCAATGGCAGGATGATTGACCACACTGAATCGGAAATGATGTTGAAGGAAAAGATCATGTCATAATGTAAGGTTCTTCCAGGCATTCTACTTGAAATTATGGTTACATAGTGCACCGCCAGAGCGCAGTGCGCTGATTGCAAGTAGTATTCTGCCTGTAGATGGTTCTCCCAACTAGCTAGTCTCTCTATCTTCAGCTGTCGTCATTTTCATGAGTAATGCTTATGTAGAAGTGATTTTGAAACCTGTATCTTCTATTTCTTTTAATATTGGATGTTATGACTGGATGATGAAGAAGTGAAGTGGAGCCCTTAGTAAATAAATACGAATTAGTGTGACAGACAGAGACATAGTTTGACCTAAAATGGCTAGTCCCATCTTCAGCCTTGCTAAGTGAGCAGACATTTCTGTGCATGTGTGGGGGTTAGTTTTAGGAAGCTGTCAGTATCTTGACTGTATAATGTTGAATGGAAGGATTTCTGATAATTTATGGTTTGAAAATGTTTAAAAGGAAGTGGTCATGGCCACTTCGAAGTACTATCCTGAAATTTGTTCCCTCTAAGCTGCTCGCGCACGCGGTTACTATGCAACGACCGCGAAGTAAACAAATATACCAGAACCGTTTCTAGGCAACGGCTCGGTAAACGCGTTCCCTCTGCGACGGACACGAACGCAAAAATTGTGCAGCAACAGAGGGATGGTATTTTCTATGTGGTCCGTGCTGGGAGGTTATAGCGAAACGAGGTTTAGAGCTTAGTTGATAGGAGGTGAAGAGAAGGCTAGGAGGTTGGTGCGAAATGCCCGCGAGTGCGTAGCAAGAGTGTGACTAAAAAGGGAAGACTTTATGCTTGATATTTGGAGTCTGTAATTTAATGAGACTTATAGCTTCTGTATTAAAATCCGTTGCCAGGAAACGGCTAGAGCAGGCTGTAATAGACTGAGGACACTAGTCTCTGTGTATCAGTGATCTGTAAAGTGTAGTCACGAGTCGTGACTATATAAGCGGTCAACAAATCAAGTCACCAATCCAGACCCCGTCTATAGTCACTCATACACATGACAATATAATAAATTTGAACTGATAAAAATAAAATTCAAAAACGTATGCTACGATTTATTGTTATTTATAGGAGCACATAAATTTAATATCTGTCATGGATCTTTCTAGAAGACTGCGCCCCTCCCCTGGTAGACGAAGCCACCCCAATTACTGCTCACAACACACCACGGCTTGCATACTTGCATCGCTGGCTTAAAGAGAACGTTGCTTGGTGGTCTGAGAAAAACCTCTATTGTTTATCTTCCTCAAATCAGAGGTGATGCTGGGGTCCCAGAGATCCCTTCCCCCTGTCGAGGTTCGATATTTTGGTATCGATTTCAGGTAAGGGACCATGAGACGGGAGTGTGAGAATGAATGATTTAGCAGAAGAGGGGGGGGGTTACTTGAGCTCACGCAACGAGGGAATCCACTGGGAAATTTATCTTGCAATGTTGGCAAGTCTGCAACTTTAATGTCACTGTGGGGGGGGAGCTGATGTCTTGCTTAAAAATTTATATTGTGGGAAGGCCATGTTTGTAGGGTCAGTCAGTAAGTATAGGGCTAACGACATGATAGCATTTGTTATTATCGTGTTCTGCATCAAATTCTCTTGGGACACTTTCTTCGTAGTTAAACTGAGGTCGCCTTGCTACGAAACATTGGTTCATGTCTCTTCTACCATGAGAATTGAGGCAGAAATTTCATCCGAAACGTTAGAACATGTCTTCTTTGCCCTGAAAATGGAGACGGTAAGCTCTTCCGAAACGTTGGTACCAATCCCTATTGTATCCAGAGAATGGCAGCATGTTCCTCCGAAACCCTAGTGCCTGACTATTCTACACTGAAGATGTAAGTGTAATATTCCCCCGAAACGGGGTACCTATTACTCTTCCCTCATGATGGAAGCAGCATGTTCTTCCGAAACATTTACTATCTAATATGACATGATGGAGGCATCAGGTTCCTCCGAAACGAATGTACTATCTCTCACATTCCACTTCCTTCAGAGCCCGAAATCTCGAAAAGATTTCGTACAAGTTCCAAGAATTCTATCCTTAAGCAAGAATAGCTCAGTGGATATAGTGGCTACGCTGCGGGCTTGGTGACCCAGGATTCGGGATAGGGGCAAGAAGTCTTTCTCTTCTCCACAGCGTTCAAACCGGCTCTGGGGCCCACCAAGCCTCCTGTCTAGTGGGCGCTGAAGGTTCTTTCCCAGGGAGTAAAGCGACCAGTGCGTGAAGCTGACCTCATCTCCAGCTAGTGTTGAGGTTAATACGTGGATCTGTACCTCCAGTCCTCCATGTATCATGGCGTGGTGCGTAATTAATCACAGGGGAAACTTTAGCTTTCATCTGGAATGTCATCACAGCGAATGTAAATTGTGATTAGTGATTAGTGATTTGTGCTGACATGACCAAAGTTCACAGAACTGAGGCCATTTACAGGTCACGTAAGTTCTGTAGGCAGGCCCTTTGCTTGTGTAATAAAGCTGTCTCTTACGTCATTCTGTTTCAACTGCATCTGTTCGAAACGGAATTATATTCCACTTTAGAGCTTCTGGGTTCGAGCTGTTGCTCTTACAGTTGCATAATTATAAGGCAACTCTCAGAAGTGGCCTAAGTATCAGAATGTAATTGGATAACCATAGAAAAATCGACATTACTTGTTGTCTTATAGAATTGAAATTTCAGATGCATTTCCTCCCTTCCGTTTAAGTAAATATCTCGGAAAAAAAACATGTAACTTACGGGAAAAATATATCTTATTTCTGTCTACAGTTTTCGCTCCGACAAATATTATGACGTATAGACCCATTGCTAGGCAACGGATCAGTAAACACGCCTAAAACAGTACGGGACAATGGAAGACAGTGTTTTCTGTGAGGTCCGCCCTGAGGCTATATAACGAGACGTTCCAAGTTAGCAGTTAGTTGTAAGAAGTTGACAGAGTTCAGTTGAGGAACAGTTCATTTCAGGTAGTTATCGAGATTTGGGTCGAGTTCTGGAGAAGGCAGTTCAAGATGATTGAGGAGAAATGGCAAGAAAGGAATTAGGCGATGTAAAGTAGACTTTATATTTGATTTGAATTGATAATGAGACTTATAAATCCGTTGCCAGGATGCGACTAGTGAAGACTGCGAACGCTAGTGCGTGTGTGACTGTGAAGTGTGTAGATCAGCGGTAGCGCTGTGTTGCCTGTAGTCCCGAGTCGTGTGAATAAGGTGCCAATAAATATAATCCAAACCCCGTCTTATAAGTCACGCGCAAATCCCGACACGTGACAGTAATTAACAAGTTACGATCGTGATGTGAGCAGAAACGCGTATAGGTCTTCGTAAGAGGTGCCCGTTATTTTGTTCGATTTTTCGATTCGAGTATATCGACAAGGTTTACGAAAACTCTACATTATCGAATATCACGAAAATACGATTGGCGGTTCACGAGTGACTGCGCACGGACTGACATAGTGGTAAAGCTTATTTGCATTTTTGTAAATTTTCATTGCAAATGCTCCAAAATGAAACCATCTATTAGTTCACCAATACATTGCATTGAGCAATAACTACCAAGAGGGTTAGCATAGCGATAACACTATACCCTAATTCTTTAAGTCCTCGGTTCGTATCTCAGTCGGTACAGTTACTATCCTGACGGAGATGTTTTTCCTCATTCACTCCGGAAAACTCCGGGATACAACCTCAATTTTGGTCACAACCGTTTCCTTTCAAATCCTCTCCCATTCTTCCGTACTACCACTCGACGCTATATGTTATAGCT